TCCATTGTGTGTGTGTGTGTGTGTGTGTGTGTGTGTGTGTGTACACACCACATCATCTTTATTCATTCATTACGGAGTAATACTCCATTGTGTGTGTGTGTGTGTGTGTGTATATATATATACACACACACACACACACACCACATCTTCTTTATTCATTCATCCATCAATGGACACTTGGGCTCTTTCCATAAAAGGCACAGTCTGATTCACTGGGTCTGGGTTTGGGCATGAGAGCTTGTATTTTAACAAGCTCCCAGGTGATGATGATGGCAGGGGTCTAGGGTGTTTTTGTTTGTGGCTTTTGTGTGTGTGGAGGTGGGTATGGTTATTTTTAAGTACGAGTAATAATTGCTGCATTCATTTCAGGATGCATGACACATTGGAGATTGGCCTAGTGAGTAACCGCTCTGATTTAGATTTGTGCTGAATGTATGAGGGATGAGATGTGTACTGTTTTCAGAAAATGCCCTGAAGCTTTATTTCTTGAAACAACATTCATTTCTTTTTCTTTGTAAAGGTGTATAGGTTATGTAGCAGTGAGACCATGAGTGGGGTAGCCTTTTCATCAGGATTATTAGAAAACTTCCCTTTTGCCTTCACTGTCTTCTCCCCTTTTTGTGACGGCATCCTCTGCCATCACTGGTGCTTGTGGCATGGATGAGTAGAAACGGCAGAGCAGGTGGCATGGTGTGTTGCACTGTAGGCGGGGTTGTCCACTGCGGAGACCTTGTGGCCTCCACATTTACCAGATAGCATGGGTTCATGAAATGATCACATTTCACTTGCTAAGTGTGGATACCATTTGGCTTGTAACACTATTCTTTTTTGAGAGAGAGGGAGGGGGAAAGGAGGAAGCACAGGATCCGAAACAGAATCCAGGCTCTGAGCAGTCAGCACAGAGCCCAATGTGGGGCTTGAACCCAAAACCGCGAGATCATGACCTGAGCCGAAGTCAGACCCTTAACCAGCTGAGGCACCCAGGCGCCCCTTCTAACACGATTCTTAAGTACTTGTTATAGTGCTATTCTTTCCCATTCCTTAGTTTGTGTAGATTATTATAGTGGAATAATAAATCTTGATAACGTGGTGGCATAGGTGTATGTATCCTTTTCTTATTACTCTTTTTGCCAGAATTATCTTGGCTACTCTTGGCTCTTTATAAAACTTTAAGTTCAACTTATTGGGGAAAATTGGAGGAAACCCCATTTGGGGGTTTTGAAGAGCATTTCATGGAATCTGTTGGTGCATTTAAGGGAGAATTGTCATCCTCATGAAGTAAATGGAACTTAAAAAGTGTATGTATATCGTAGGCTGCCTGGCTGGCTCAGTCCATGGGGTATGTGACTCTTGATCACAGGGTCACGAGTTCAAGCCCGACATTGGGTTACTTCTAAAAAAGTGTATATCCTTATGAGAAAGAAAATCGGTTTTTATACACCATACACAATGATTAATTCCAAATAGGTTAAGGATTTAAATGCCAAAAATTAAGCTTTAATAATTTAGGTATTTAGATTTATTTAGATAAAATAAGTGAATATTTTCCTAAATTTGGGTTAAGGGAAGAATTTCATGCAACAGAAAATGCACTGTCAGAGAAAGGATTGCAAAAATTGGCTGTGTTGAAATTAACTTTTGTTCGGCAAAATACCCTTCAAAAGACCGTGGAAAGACACATTAAAAAACTGGGAACAACATATTTCTAATGAACATAACCAACAGAATATGTAGTTTCAAGGCTATCTAAGGAAAACCTACAAATGAATACAAAAAGGACAACCCATTGGAAAACTGGGCAAGAGACATTTAAGAGGCATTTTGTAGAAGTGGAAAAACATGAAGACACAAAGATATACCTTAACATAAAGGTACATAAACATATAAAGAGATGTTTGACTTTATTAGTGATCAGGGAAATGCAAATCTGGACCACAGTGACATGCAGTTTTATGTCCATTGTAGTGGCATAAATTAAGAATTCTGGTTGTACTTAGTTTTGGAGAGGATGTGCATCTATATCTACATGACCTCTTATAAATCGCTGATGGGAGAATAAATTTTCCAGCTACTTTGGAAAATAGTTTGGCGTTGTCTTGTGAAATAGAACATTAATCACTGCCTAGCAATCCCACTCCTGGGTTTGCACCCAGAGAAATTCTTGCATGTGTATACCAGAAAACACGTAGGGCAGTGTTCATATCATTGTAAGTAATAAAGTCTGGAAACAACTCAAATGCCCATTGCCTTGAGAATGGGGCAGTCAAATATGTTGTGTGTGGTATATTTCTAAGTGGAATATTATGTGACCAGTGGGCCAAATCTGGCAAGGGCAGTTTCTGTACTGCCCACAGCTAAGAATGGTTTTACATTTTTAAAGTTTAAAAAAAGAAAATGACACGACACAGCATGTGGCCCACAAAGCCCAAAAAACTTACTTGTGGCCATTTCCAGAAAAGGTTTGCTGCTCCTTGATCTGTGCAGACAATTAGGATGAGTCTAGTAATCTAATCTACAGCTGTGCTGTCCAAAATGGTAGCCATTAGCTATGTGTAGCTATTTAAGCTTAAATTCATTTAAATTCAAGAAACTGAAAAATTCAGGTAAGTTGCACTAGCCACAGCAAAGTCAAAATGATTCTTTTAGGACCACACACAGATGAGATAAAGAGGGGAACAAAGGAATTGTGAGCCCAGGATTCAGGATTGTGATTACCTTGAGTCCAGGAGGGCAGGGGGAGTTTCCAGCCCACGGTGGAGTTACAAATAGTGTGTGCAGACTGGAAGCTTCTTGGAACTGTTCCGCAGCCCACAGTCTGTTGTAAGATTACTTTGCAAAAATATTCTATAAAGAAAATTTTTCCTGCAGGAATTTCTCTAAGGTTGTTTTTAATAGCTGTAAGCCTAATGGCCTGTAAGGATGCTTGCTAGGCCACAAGGTGTCACTCTTGCTGTTGAAATTGATTCTGCATCATTTCCTTCTGTGAAAGGTTGGTGAGGCTGCTGTCTATCTGTTAGTGTTGATTGAACCTTGAAATAGACTCATTTGCTCTAAACCTAAAATTGCAGCAATTCCCCCCTCGTTTACAAAAAATCCTGAGTGCTGTCTGTTCTAATTTGGGTAACCATTTCAGTAGACTAGCTTGTGTGTATTTTTCAGAAAAGTAAAACTCGATGGTGTTGATTTCTAAAATTTTTCCACAAAGCTCATTTTAAAATTTTGAGTAAAATAGATTAAGGGGTGCCTGGCTGGCCCAGTGGGTGGAGCACGAGACTCTTGATCTCAGGGTTGTGACTTTGAGTCCCGTGTTGGGGGTAGACTTTAATTGAAATAGGTGGTTTTTTTCCCTAACCTAAATTATTTCCTTACTCTCCTATCACAACTGGAAGAGAGACAACGTTGGCAGAGTAGCATGGCACAAAATGATTTTTTTAAAATGTTTTATTTATTTCTGAGAGAGATAAAATGATTTAAGTAAAATCTTATGCTACAGTATTTGGTGTTTGAAAATATGTTCCATAGTTCTTACTGTAATTTTTCCAGCCATAATTCAAAGGTTTTCATTGTACTTCCTAATTGTAATGTGCTTTGTTAATTTTAGCTGGAGGAGAGCAGGAATGTTCAGAAGCAAATGAAGATTCTGCAGAAGAAACAAGCCCAGATCGTGAAAGAGAAAGTTCACTTACAGAGTGAGCACAGCAAGGCTATCTTGGCAAGAAGCAAACTAGAGTCCCTTTGCCGGGAACTTCAGCGTCACAATAAGACATTAAAGGTGAGTTGGTTAAGTTTTCTGTTTTTCAAGGGGTACTGACACTGACTTAGCTTGCTTTATAATTACTGTGTACATGTTTGAAATAAATGCTGCTTTCTGTCTGGAGTCAGATACCAGCCACCATTCTGTTTTGCTTGGCCTGATGCTTCTTTTTTTTTTTTTTTTTAATATTTTTTTTTAATTTTTTTTTTTTTTTTTATTTCTAGGAGAGAGAGAGAGACAGCGTGAGCAGGGGAGGGTCAGAGAGAGAGGGAGACACAGACTCCGAAACAGGCTCCAGGCTCTGAGCTGGCAGTCAGCACAGAGCCCGACGCGGGGCTCGAACCCACGAACCGCGAGATCATGACCTAAGCGAAAGTCGGACGCTCAACCGACTAAGCCACCCAGGCGCCTCGGCCTGATGGTTCTTAATGAACCTCATACCTGGTCATAGGGAGTCTAATTGAGATTGATATTTAGACCGCAGCTTTTCTGCCTGGAGTCCTGGCTTAGGAAGCTCAGAGCTGCAAGTTTTCTGCTGAGCACTGATGTAGTTAATTACCACGTATGAAAAGTTGAAGTGAAATGAGAAGCTGAGGAGAAACAGACTTGAGGCAGAGACTGAGTCTGGGAAGGGAAAACACCTGCTGAGCTCCTGAAGGGCTGTTAATCAGCTACATTGCCAAACCACCCTTACCTATCCCCCACCCTGTTGCTAAGTACTTTTAGAATAGCACTCAAATCTTGGCTGAATATAAAAGAAGAGGGAGCAGGTACCCAAGGATTAATTGGTACCAACAAGAGAAGAAGGAAAAAGAGCCAGAGGCCTGGAGGCGGGCCTGCCCTCATGTACAGTTGGGGTACGATTTTGACCAAGCAGGATCTCTCCTTAAACTGCCCCAGCACAGCAGATGCCTAAGGCCCTAGAACAGAGGCATGCTCAGGAAGTGGATCTTCCCCTACTGGTGGGAGCTGTTTGTTTTTTCTTTGCTTTTGAATCCTTGGGTTTACATAACCATTAAAGTTGGTGGGGGTTTTTCCTGTAGCAAATCAATAATTTGATTGGTTAACACTTGTATCTTAGCAAGTGTTGGAAGTAAGTCTTTTAAGATACAGGTTTCTTTTGTCCCTTGCCTTCTAGGGAGTAGTGTAACTGAGAAGGTAAGCTGCAAGGAGTCGTCTCTGGTCAGGCTAGGTTCGGATACTGCCGTGTGACCGGGTAGAGGGTGTTGGGGAACATTCGGTAGAGGGAGCTGGCTGCGTGGAGCAGCAGCTCCTTACTTGGCTTTCAGTACAATGAATTTGAGATGGGCATGTAGCGCGCAGTTTACAACAGGGCATTCTGTATCTGTCATTATTTTATCTACTCAAAGCTGCTTGTTTATTTACATGAGAACCTTCTGGTCACAAATACAGGGAAGGAATACTTCAGGGTGGCAATAGATGAACCCCCATGGCAGCAGCTTCTTTGATGAGCGTCTTCTCTATAGGTCTATACCATTAACAGAACTTATTTTGGATAATAAGGAAGAAAATATGCAGCAGGCACGAGAGGAGGAAGAAAGACGTAAAGAAGCCACCGCACACTTCCAAATTACCTTAAATGAAATCCAAGCACAGCTCGAACAACACGACATACACAACGCCAAGCTCCGCCAGGAAAACATTGAACTGGGAGAGAAGCTGAAGAAGCTCATTGAACAATATGCACTGAGAGAGGAGGTAAAGCCATTTTCTGGGTTTAGACAGCTTGTTTTCAGAAAGGATTTTTCACCATTCCTGACCGAAGTGAAACTGCTCTCACAGGAGGCTTGGAGATTTTATAGATGCATAGTGGAAGTTGGGCATTTCATGGGAAAGCTCAGTCACCATGGGAACAGGAGTCTAGGGGACCATTACTTAGGTAGTCGAGGAGTCTGTGGATTTGGGTAGGTGAGGCAGTTTCGTGGGGACGTGTTAAGGACTACTTGACTTCCATGTGATACTAGAAGATTGTGTTTTTAGCATAAAGATTTTTCCCTTTATCTAGACTCATAATAAATATTTGGCCTCTAAATATGCTGTAACTCAGGTATCTGTGATAATCTGGACTGTCTACATTACCACTGTATTAAACCTGTGTTTTACATTTCTTTAAAAAAAATTTTTTTTAATGTTTTTTTTTTTTTTTTATTTCTAGGAGAGAGAGAGAGACAGCGTGAGCAGGGGAGGGTCAGAGAGAGAGGGAGTCACAGACTGAAACAGGCTCCAGGCTCTGAGCTGGCAGTCAGCACAGAGCCCGACGTGGGGCTTGAACCCACTAACCGCGAGATCATGACCCGAGCGAAAGTCGGACGCTTAACCGACTAAGCCACCCAGGCGCCCCTTACATTTCTTTTTAAATGGGGGCTTTATACTATTTGAGAGGATAAGAAAGAACTTATTTCTTAAACTCTCCTATCCATTAAAGTAAAAAGTTTACTGGAAGGATCCATGCCTGCTGCTCTTGGTCATTGGCCTCCCGCTAAGACTTTTTCAAGCTAGTCGGGAAGTTCAGAGGTTCTATCTGTGTTAAAAGCAAATAGGCGATGGCCTGTTTTGTATGGTTCCTTGCTTTTAGAGGTCAAAAGGGCCGGACTAGAGGCATCAGGCTTTTAGAACACGGCATCCCCTGCCTTTGAAGTTAGGGAAATATGCTTCTGTGTGCGTTGTAACCCTTCACAAACAAGTAGATTAAAATAGCTGATTAAAATGAAACAATAAAAAAAAGAGGAGTACCTCTGTCAGTTACTTTATCCAGTTTTGAAGGCAAACTTTAGATCATATTAACTTACATTCAGCCCTTCAGAAGCGGTTATTTAAAAGATTTTCTTTTCTTTTTTTCTTTTTCTTTTTTTTGAATGTTTATTTTTGAGCAAGAGTACAAGCAGGGGAGGGGCAGAGAAAGAGAGGAACAGAGGATCCAGCGTGGGCTCAGTGGTGACAGCATAGAGCCCAACGCAGGGCTCAAACTCCCAAACTGTGAGATCATGACCTGAGCCAAAGTTGGATGCTTAACCAACTGAGCCACCCAGGCGCCCCTTAAAAGATCTTTTTAATCACTCTCTCTGTCCTCCCCCCCTTTTTTTTTTTGTTAATGGAGAATTACACACTTAAACGTAGAGAATATATCACTTGGTTTCAGCAGGTGAAGCCGTTGTTTCAGCTTTATTCCCATTGCCTTGCCCTGGATTATTTTGATACAACTTCAAGGTGTCCTATTATTCCATTCATATGTATTTGAGGGTGTACCTCAAAAACACAAGGGAAGCTTTTTTTAAGCACAGCCACGGTATCATTTTCATGCCTACAAGAATTAAAACAATTACTAAACATTAAATATTGAGTCATTATTCAGTTCTCTGGGTTCCCCTATGTCCTCCCCCCACCCTTTTAAAACTATTTGAATCAAGGTTTAAATAAAGTCCATCTGTTTCAGTGGTTAATAGGTCTCAAGTCTGTAACATGAAGATTTCCTTTTTCACTCTTTTTCCTTTGTTTTCTTATTTAAAAAGATTTTTTTTAATGTTTATTTTTTGAGAGAGAGAGGCAGAGTGCAAGTGGGGGAGGGACACAGAGAGAGGAAGACAGAATCTGAAGCAGGCTCCAGGCTCTGAGCTAGCTGTCAGCACAGAGCCCGACGCCCGATGCTCGAACCCAACAACCGTGAGATCATGACCTGAGTAGAAGTCGGACACTTAACTGACTAACCACCCAGGGGCCACAACTCTTTGCTCTTACGATGCTTATCAAAGGAACTTTTGTGTCCTAGAGACTAAATTTTGTATTAGATTATAAATCCTTCAATTTTCTTAAAATTCTTTTAGTTTTGTTTAATATGACAATCTGCTACATCAGAGATGCCGAACATTTGAAAATTCTGTATGTTTAAATCACATTACATGTGGGACTTTCTTATTTTGAATATTATCAAATGTTCTTTGGCCAGGATGAGTTACTCTTTATGCATCTGAGAAGGGATGTTCTGATGACTTTATTGTACATAAATAACCACTTAACAATTTCGTTTGGAAATCATGGCGACCTTTTACCAAATCTGTAGTATGTGCCTGGGACAAAGCACCTTATGTAGTGTAACCATTGCATTATCTTTTACAATTCTGCCAGAGCATGCTTATCTCCGCGTAGAGGAGGGAACTGAGATTCAGCAACAGGAAGATTTGTCCGGGGCCACGCACTAGCCAGGATTTGACCTGGGCCGCTCCTATTGTCACAGCGTGCTGCCTCCATCTGAGAACTTTGGGGAGATATAAAGTGGAGAGAAGTATCTAGGAATTACGTGTATGATGTACGGGATTAACAGTTTGATCTCTTTATCCATATTTTTCTTGATGCACTTTGAGCCTCATTTTCATTGTAGGGCAGAAATAGGAAGTACAGGTGTGTGGCTGATGAGGTTCCTTGACTGCCCAGCTCCAAAAGGGAAGGGGTACAGGGGAGTAGCCTGAAGGCTCCTTTCCTGCAAGTGCGAGAGGCTCTACAAGGCGATGTAAGGCCCGCTCTTCCACAAGCATGTGGACCCAGTGTCCACGCAAGCAGGCAAAGCAGGGTAATCATAGGCATGGCGTCGTAACTTGTGTTGTTGCCTTGTCATTGTGTTCCTTTTTCATTAAGTGATGGAAGGAATCTTCTCCCACAGCATATTGATAAAGTGTTCAAACATAAGGAGTTACAGCAGCAGCTTGTGGATGCCAAGCTTCAGCAGACAACACAGCTAATAAAAGAAGCTGATGAAAAACATCAAAGAGAGAGAGAGTTTGTAAGTTCTGTTTCTTACAGTTTGTCAGAATTGGACCAGTGCCATTTAAAACATTCAAACTTATTTTACATTTAATGTAGTACCTGGGTCATGCTAATTGGTTTTTTGTTCTAGATGGAGAAGGACATGTGTGTGTCAGAACGCGTTTGGCTTTTTATTTCTAATTTTTATACAGAAGATACACTGGAGAGATTAGACCCAAGTTAGTGCAAAGGTCTGCACTCATTTGACTTTTCCGTGCTTAGAATAATAGTCCCCAAGTTCCACAGTTATTAGACCAGTATTTCAATTTAATATCAAGCTTACCAAACACTAGTCCCCTATACATTGTTAGATTTTGTTTTTAAACAAGTAACTTGAAACTAGGGAAACTATTTGTCTACTTATTCTGGTATAATATTCTGATAAAATTTAAACAGAATTCTCCATACCTAATCACTCAGCATCGTTCCCGGAGAGTATGTTGAGACTGTATTTCCCGTCAGTAATTATGAATACTGTGGAATCTCACCGGTAGACCGAACATACGCAAATTCAACTTCACGTGCTTAAGCAAAAACAAACCAACAAACTGGTGGGAGATGATGACGGCAGTGAGGACTGTTCCATCCAGCTCTTGCTGAAGTAGCGTAGGCACGGAGGCAAGCCTGCTCTGAAGCCTCGCTTCGTCTGTGCCCCTCGCGTTGTGAACGAACCATGTTGAGTGTGAGTCTAGGCATAGGAGAGACACATCTTTTATATGGCACGATCCTTCTGCGTGAACTGCTAATGCTGTCCTGTGCATGACTGAAGGAACGGTTGTCATACATTCACATATGCACATGGATCTATTGCACGTTTATACTTCGTAATTGGTTTAATATCTTTTCCAGGCTTATTTGGACTGTGTGTGACATTTTAGGGACTGAATTTCAACAGTTGTTTACTATGCAACTTTGATATATAATTTTCTTGAAAACTCAAGTATATAAATCACGCATCCACTCCTCCCCTGCTTTTTAAAAAGTGATTGGAAACTGGTCTCTGATTTCATTGCTTTGCTCCATACCCTTTCACTCTGCCTCATCTTGGTTCTCGAGGAGTAGACTGGCTTTCTAAGTCACCTAGATAAATGTCGAGATTCTGGGCCATGTTTTCTGCTGATCCCAGACTTCTAATTATCTTCACCTGAAACATAAGAGTTCAATCCTGAGTTTTGTAAACCTATTATTAGGCCTCCAGCGTGCTCTTTCTAAGCAGTAAAAGATTATTCCAACATTTCCTTAGTGTTAACAAGGGGAACAGATTGAAGACAATAGGGTAATGAGCAGGTGATATAACAAAGTTTTATCTATAGACTTGGAGGTTTTGTTAAAATAATGACCAGAAGGATTAAGCCCGACTCTGATCATTTGACATTATAGCCATATTTGTAATTACTTTTAGTATTCTGCCAGAATGTTTCTGTTTTCTAGTTATTAAAAGAAGCAACAGAATCAAGGCACAAATATGAACAAATGAAACAGCAAGAAGTACAACTAAAACAGCAGGTAACTTGACAGCAGGGGGTAGCGGCTTTTGTAAGAAAAATCTATGGTTCACTTGATGTATACCTTGGATATTCTCTAAGATGCTTGTGCTTATTCCCAGCCGGAAATGAGGGTAGTTCACGCGTCCCTCCTGGAGTTTTCCTCTGCACTCAGGGTGACCAGCTCGTCCTGACTTGCCCAGAACTTTCCTGGTTTTAGCACTCAGAGTCCCGTGTCCTGGGAAACACTTAGGTCTCAGGCACATGGGGACGGTTGGTGATGCTGTCTGCAGTGCTCCCTTTCCAGTATCTCAGGTATTTCCTCCCTTTCTCAGTCTGTTCCCATGTGTGTCTGCTAATTTCCAACTAAAGAAAACCTGAGAAATCTTCAGATTGTAGCTCTTTTGTACTAAGCTGAATTATACGAAATTGCTGGTACTTCTTTGACCTACAAAACTGGCAATTTCATATAGTTGAACCTAAAATCTTTAGAATTTTGTGCTTTTAGCACATAATCTGTTTCAAAAACTGCCTATCAACCACCATACAATTCTACTCCCAGATGGAGCTGTGGAGGTGGTGGTTTTCATGGGGGCCCTCCCTACTTTATTCTTTCTTTTTATATTGTTTATTTTTGAGAGAGAGAAAGAGAAGACAGTGCAAGAGCAGGGGAGAGGCAGAGAGAGAGGGAGACACAGAATCAGAAGCAGGCTCCAGGCTCTGAGCTGTCAGCACAGAGCTCGATACGGGGCTTGAACCCACGAAGGGCGCGATCGTGGCCTGAGTCGAAGTTGGATGCTTAACCGACTGAGCCACCCAGGTGCCCCCCTGCTTTTTCTTTTCAATTATATGATACCTTATTGTTAAATATAGTCACCACACTGTACATTAGATCCTCAGAACTTACTCATCTTATAACTGAAAGTTTTTGCCCTTTGACCATCATCTTCGGGTTTCCCCCTCCCGTCAGCCCCTTACAACACCATTCCACTTTCCATAGGAGTTCTGCTTTTTTAGATTTCGTATATAAGTGAGATCATACAGTATTTTTTCTCTGTCTGGCTGATTTCACTTAGCATGATGCCCTGCAGGTCCATCCGTATTCTCACAAATGGCAACATTTCTTTTTTTAAATGGCTGATTAATACTCTATTGTGCATATATACCACACTTTCTTTATTCATCTCTTGGTGGGCACTTAGGTTGTTTCTCTGTGTTGGCTGTTGTAAAGAATGCTGCAGTGAATATGGGAGTGCATGTATCTCTGAGATAGTGATGTCATTTCCTTTGGATATACAGTATACACAGATATAGGATTCCTAGATCATAGGTTCTATTTTTAATTTTTTGAGGAACCTCTGTACTGGTTCTCATGGTAGCTGCGCCAGTTTACATTCCCACCAGCAGTGCGTAGGAGTTGCCTTTTCTTCACACGCTCGCCAACATTTGTTATCTCTTGTCTTTTTTATAATAGCCATCCTAACAGGTGTGAGATGACATCTCCTTGTGGTGTTGATTTTGCATTTCCCTGATGATTCATGATGTCGAGCACCTTTTCATGTTCCTGTTGGCCATCTGTATGTTTTTGGAAAGATGTCTATTCAAGCCCTCTGCCCATGTTTAAGTTGGATTATATTTGTCTTTTTGCTCTCGACTTGTATGGATTCCTTATATATTTTGCATATCAACCCCTTATTGGGTATATGATTTGCAGATATTTTTTCCCATTCCATAGGTTTCTTTTTCATTTTGTTAAATGCTTCTTTGCTGTGCAGAAGCTTTTTAGTTCATTGTAGTACCACTTGTTGATTTTTCCTTGTGTTGCTTGTGCTTTTAGTATCATAACCAAAATTTCCAAGACTACTATTGAGGAGTTTTTTTTTTTTTTTTTTTTAACTGATGTTTTCTTCCAGGAGTTTTATGGTTTTGGGTCTTTTGTTTAAGTCCTTAATTTTTGTGAGTAGTGTAAGACAGGGATCCAGTTTTCCCAACACTATTGAAGAGACCGTCCTTTCCCCCATTGAGTATTCTTTAATTTTTTTAAATTTTTTTTTGTTTTTTAAATTTATTTCTGGGAGAGCTTGAGCAGGGGAGGGTCAGAGAGAGAGGGAGACACAGAATCTGAAGCAGGCTCCAGGCTCTGAGCTAAGCTGTCAGCACGGAGCCCGACGTGGGGCTCAAACCCACAAACCGTGAGATCATGACCTGAGCTGAAGTCGGACGCTTAACTGACTGAGCCACCCAGGCTCCCCCCTGCCATTGAGTATTCTTGGCTCCCTTGTCAAATGTTAGTTGACCGTATTTGTATGGGTTTATTTCTGGGCTCTCAGCTCTGTTTCATTGGTCCATTTCTCTGATTTTATGCCAGTAGCATACTGTCTTGATTGCTTTAGCTTGTAGTATAGTTTGAAGTCAGGGAGTGTGATGCCTTTGTCCAGCTTTGTTGTTTCTCAAGATTGCTTTGGCTCTTCTGGCTCTTTAGTGGTTCCATTCAAATTTTAGGATTATTTTTTCTGTTTCTGTAAAAATGCCTTTGTGATTTTGATAAGGATTAAATATAGATGGCTTTGGGTAGTATGGACATTTTAATAATACTAAGTTTTGATCTATGAACACGGGATATCTTTCCATTTCGTATTCTTCAAGTTTTTTCATCAGTGTTTCAGTTTTCAGCATGTAGATCTTTCATGTCCTTGGTTAAATTTATCTCTATTTTATTGATTTTGATGCTGTTGTAAATAGGAGTTTTGGTTTTTGTGGGTTTTTTTTTTTCATAAGTTTTTTGGAGGAGTCTTCAGGATTCTCTATACATAAGATCGTGTCGTCAGCAAACAGAATTTTACTTCTTCCTTCTGATTTGGATGCCTTCTATTTTTCATGCCTAATTACTTTGGCTATGAATTCTAGTACTGTATTAAATAGAAGTGGTGAGGGTGAGCGTCCTTCTCTTGTTCTGATCTTAGAAGGAAAGCCTTAAACCTTTCACTATTGAGTATGATGTTAGCTGTGGATCTATCATGTATGGCCTTTGTTACATTGAAGTATGTTCTTTCTCTGCCCCATTTGTTGAGTGCTTATATCATGAATGGATGTTCTATTTTGTCAGATGCTTTTCCTGTATCTATTGAGATGATCATATGGTTTTTCTCCTTTATTCTGTTGATGTGGAATATCACATTTATTGATTTGTGTATGTTGAGCCATCCTTGCATCATCACCAAGATGAATCCCATTTGATCATGTGATCTTTTTAATGTGCTTTTGGATTTGGTTTGCTAGTATTTTTTTGACTGTTGAGAATTTTTACAAGTTTATTAATCAGGGGTTTTGGCCTGCAGTTTTCTTAGAGTTTTCGTATCTGGCTTTGATTTCAGGGTAAATGCTGACCTTAAATAAAATAAATTGGGGAGTGTCCCTTTTCTTCAGTTTTTTGGCAGGGTTTGAGAAGAATTGGCTTTTGTTCTTCTTTAAATGTTTGGTGGAATTCATCCATGAAACCATGTGGGCCTAGGCATTTCTATTGCTTCCCCATTTTTCAACCCAGACCCCTTAGTTTTGTCCTAAGGCAACCTTTCTTGGTGTTTGTCTTCTGTGCAGTAAGGGTAGCAGACACTGCCTCCCCGCTCAGAAGATACAGAAAAGACTTCCTGTGTCTTTATGGACAGGTGAAATTAGGTGTTTACCTGTAGTTCACCCTTTTCCAAGTAAGTAGATTACATTCAGTTGAAAAAAGTATTACCCATTTTAAAAGTTTATTATATAAGAAGTTGTTTTTGTTTTTTTTTTAATGTAAGTACTCTAAATTAGTTCTAAAATGCATTGATACATTGAGACTGGTGTGAATCTTTATGACTACCTCTTTTTCAATGCTTTTTGTCTTGGGCCTGTTTTACAGTGTGGTGATACTCATTTCCTATAAAGTTAGCCTAAATTTAGAGTGAAAATTCAAGAAGTCTTTTGAACCTCCCACTATAATTTAGGATTGTGCTAGATTGCTTCTAGGAAATTTGAACCCCTCATTAGCTCCATAAACTCAGTTGTCCATATAAATGGAGAAGAAAATTGCAGAAAAGGTATATAAAGGCTATCTATGTATGAATTTGGAAAATAGATTTAAAATTTTTTTCTTAATATTTTTGTTTTGAGAGAGAGAGAGCATGAGAAGGGCAGAGAGAGAGAGGGACACGGGATCCAAAGTGGGCTCTGTGTTGATAGCAGAGAGCTTGATGCATGCCTCGAACTCTAGAACTGTGAGATCATGACCTGAGCTAAAGTCAGACGCTCAGCCGAATGAGCCACCCAGGTGCCCCTGGAAAATAGACTTGATTGTGGGAGTCACTGCGAAGCATGGGAGGACCCTCTGTGAAGCTTGCAGGCAGCTCTGATTCTGTTGGACTGTGCTCGTTGCAACTTCTGTTGTCTGCAGTCTGTGTTACCCTGGGTCATGTTATCTGATTATTAGTTTGTTTCCTTTGCTGTCACGTCTTTCTTTTCCTAGTCCTTAAATGTGGCTGTCCTTTCCAAGAGTTGGTCTCATTTTGTGTTCTTACCATGTCAGTTTCCAGCATTTGTTGAGGATAGAGTTGAATTGGTGTTGGACCCACGATTCTGTAATCCAGGCACGTAAGGCCGGGTGTGATGGCAGTTGCCACTTAACTGACTCCCCAGTGTGGGCCTGCATTGAGCTCTCAGATGGGACAGTCTACCTGGATCGCATCTTCGACAACAATGGCTGTTGGGGGGCCTGGGTGGCGTCAGTTGAGCACCTGACTCTTGATTTTGCGTCAGGTTTTGATCTCAGGGTCAGGGGATCAAGCCCTGCGTTGGGCTCCGCACTGAGCCTGGGGGCCTGCTTAAGTCAAAAGACCCCATCCCACTGAATTCTTTCTTTCCCCACCAAACCAGTTTTTGCCTTCTGTTTCATTTTCCTGTATGTGTTAAGGAAAGAGTTTTCCTTTTTTAAATGTTTATTTTGAGAGGGAGAATGAGAGCATGAGTGGAGGAGGGGCAGAGATGAGGGAGAGAGGATCCCAAGCAGGCTCTGTGCTGTCAGTGTGAAGCCCCACATGGGGATCGAGCTCATGAACCGTGAGATCATGACCTGAGTGGAAACCCAACAGTTGGTCGCTTAACCAGCTGAGCCACCCAGGCGCCCTGGAATGAGCTATCCTTGATACCAAGCTAAGAACTGTGCATGTGATGTTCTGAAAGAATGATCTTTTTCCAAGGACAGTTCTTCAAATCTAAGGGAGGGAGCAGTTCATGAATAATTAGTTACATGAAATTTATAGTTCTACCAGCCACAGCAGTTTTTATTATAATTGGTGGATTGGAGCTAGTAAATATTTATACAGTTTAAAATTTACTTGTAAAAAGATGTGTAGCGGGTCTCTGAGTTACAGAACTTAGGCGGTCTCTGTCTGGCCCCCAAGGGCTGCTGTGCGCCTCTTCTTCCTTCTGTCACTCATACCAAGTAACCAGTGCTTAACCATAAAACGTTCTCTTAGAAAGCCTTTGGGAATTTTAAATGGTTTACTTGGAACTCAGAATATTTCATACTTTTTTTTTCTGTAGCTTTCTCTTTATATGGATAAGTTTGAAGAATTCCAGACCACCATGGCGAAAAGCAATGAACTGTTTACAACCTTCCGGCAGGAGATGGAAAAGGTATTTGCATATGTTTAGTAGAATATTACCTAAAGGGGAGTTAATAGAAAAGGCTGCGTTAAGCACCGGTCACTGCCTGTTCTGGTATGCTTTTCGTTTGCTCTGCTCTCTTCCCTCCAGTGGCATCCTGGGTGGTCACTGTGCCCTTGGGGGAGCCCATCAGTGCTGGGTCTGTTGTTAACCCATAAAGTGGTTCTTTTTTGCTTGCGTCTTGTTTTGTTCACTCAGGCGACACACCACCCCTCCCTCACAAAGCTCTGTGGTTTGGGAGATTATTTAAAGACATCCAAGCCTAGAACACGTTTTGGTTGGTTGATTTTGTTGATACACACAGGCACACACATATTTATGTATATTTTTACTTACATATGTGTAATCAAAGTATATCAGTGTTCCCACCTTTTCAAAAAATTTAATTCTTTATTTTAAGTAATCTCCACACCCAAGAGAAGGCTTGAACTCACAATCCCAAGATCAAGAGTTGCACGCGCCACCAGCTGAGCCAGCCAGGCGCACCAGTGTTTCTGCCTTTTTAACTTTTCTTTTTAACTACACTCCCACTGAACTCTTTCTCCTTCATCCAGTCCCTTTCTTTCTCTGGCTTCCGTTTCGTTTTCCTGCCTACATAAGGAAAGCGATCTCCTTGATACCAAGCTGAGAAGCAGAATATATACATACACATCCATAAGTCCACCCATTGCTGCTGCTTTTACGTGGCACATTCCCTTTAAAATGGAGCCTCAGAAAAGGGTGGCGGGTGGGGGAGAAGTACAGCGGCGTCAGGCGCTTGGTGCGCTGTCAGGCGGGTGGCGACTGGGCCTGGACCGCGTGCAGTGGCCTGCAGCGTGCGCTCCAGGCAGCGTCCCAGTCGCATCACGTAATGTGTGACCGTGGACAGGTTGTTTAGCCTTTCTGTGCCTTCCTCGTTAAAAGAGACAAAGGTCCCTGCCCTCTGTAAAGCAGAGTATTTCCGACAGTACTTGGCTGTGTTAAGTGCTCAAGTTACCGCCTTCAGGTATTTTTAGACCCAGGAATGTAGGGGATTTGGTGGTGGCGGCTCCGTCCCGCCTGCCAGGCCTCCGGCCGGGGCTCTGCTTCGGGCGCCCCTTCGGCACCCGCGCACCGTGTGAGAAGCACGCTCTCCGGGCCCCGTCCTCCCCGCTCTGCTCGCGGCTGGGAGATCACGGGGGGGTCGGCGCTCAACCAACCCCCGTCTGCCACGAGCTTTGCCCGCGGCCCTTGTCCCACTCGGCGTCGCGTTCGTTTCGCGGGTGATTGCCCACGGCACGCCGCCTGGCTCCGTGCCTCACCTGGGAGCAGGTGACTCACTGTGACCGTCTGAAAATTGGGCTCTTGTAGTGCAGGTGTAAAGGTGTTCCCCTTATTTTTGGACCCGTCTTCTCGTTAGCAAAACCTGAAGTCCGTCTCCTAAGTCGTGAGGATGCTCAGAACTAAGGATTAACTACTTTCATCCTTTGTCTCTGACTGGAGTGTTCCCGAAGCCACGCTGCGGACAGTTCCAAAACCGACGGGGTCGCGGGGCTCACGGTAGATCGCCGATCCTTCGTCTTTGTGGGGAGCTTCCAAGAGGCAGATGAATTAATTTCCCGAATAGAAAACTCATGACTTGGACATGTTTTTGTACAGTCCGGGGAGGAGGTCTCTCGGCTGGATTGAGAGACGCCCTCCCGCCTAAGCCGAGAACTCAGGGTGTGGGGTCTGAACGCTGCTTCCCTGTGCTGCTGCCTCTGAAATCAAGGAGCTTAGATTTGTTTTTCTCCTAACGTGAAACCCCCACTTTGGTCCTCGCTGCTGCCGCCATACGAGCTTCTGAGATCAGCTCTGCTGCCGCCAGACAGGCGCAGCTGTCCCCTGGGCAAGGCGGGTGCGGGCCGACCTTCGCAGTGCTGCCATTGGGTGTAGAGAGAAGAAACGGAACTTACAGTTTACATTTGCAATTGTGTTGACAGATGACCAAGAAAATTAAAAAACTGGAGAAAGAAACAATAATATGGCGTACCAAATGGGAAAACAATAACAAAGTGCTTCTGCAAATGGCTGAAGAGGTGAGGTGGTTTCCCACGATTAAGGTGTGTCTGTGGTCCCGGAGGCTCCTGAAGCCCGGGCACCTTCACAGGGCAGGGGGCGTGTGGGGACAGCGCGGCCATACTTGAGGGCTCTGGCTAGAGCTGTGGGCGGGGGAGCGGCTACGTGGAATCTTTAAATGTCCTTCAGGGGGCGCCTGGGTGGCTTAGTCGGTTGAGCGTCCGACTTTCGCTTGGGTCATGATCTCGCGGTTTGTGGGTTCGAGCCCCGCGTCGGGCTCTGTGCTGACTGCCAGCTCAGAGCCTGGAGCCTGTTTCAGAGTCTGTCACTCACTCTCTCTCTGACCCTCCCCTGCTCACGCTGTCTCTCTCTCTCTCTCTCTCCTAGAAATAAAAGTATTTAAAAAAAAAAATGTCCTTCAGGGTTGGAGGCCGGGCGGGGGGGGGGGGGGGGGGGGGGGGGGGGGGGGGGGGCGAGTGCGGTAGGAACAAGTTCCTCCCCACCCGGTTAATCCGCCCAGGCTTCTTTTGGAGACGCGGCCACAAGGCGCGTACATTTGCTCTGCCGCGCGGTGAGCTCTCACACCGGAGCTCGGGGCACGTTACAGCTCGTTAACGAGCTTGGTCTTAAGAGCGCGCCGGCGAGGTTCCACCCAGAGGTCGGTTCCCCTGTTCTGCGGGGCACGCGCCGGGCTTGCACAATCAGCCTTTCTAACCAGTATCGTGCTGGCGCTGGTGCCGGGCTCGCATCCAGAGGCACTGATGAGATCTCCGAGTGAGGAGTGTGGAGAACAACCCGGATGCCTTTCTTTCTGCCTTGACTTGGTCTTTTCCAAAAGGGCAGCAAAAAGTACTTGTGGCTGGAACTTTGTTCGCAATACTTTTCAAAGAGGCCCTTAACTTTTTAGCTTTGTGAGGAGTATCTTGAATTCCCTTACTAGTTAATACAAGTTTTAAAAAAAAAATTTATTTTTTAATGTTTATTTTTGAGAGAGAGGAGTAGAGACAGACTGCATGAGCAGAGGAGGGGCAGAGAGTGAGGGAGACACATAATTCAAAACAGGCTCCAGGCCCCAAGCTGTCAGCACAGAGCCGGCCACGGGGCTCGAACTCAGGAACAGTGAGAACGTGACCTGAGCTGAAGCCTGATGCTCAACCGACTGAGCCACCCAGGGACCCCACAAAGTGTTTTACAAAGTGGATTTTGGCTATTTTGGCACCCCAGGATGAGGTCTCCTGCGCTGAATACGTTGGGTATGTGTAGAGCTAGGTGCGCAGTGACGCTGGCTAGATGGTTCGTGGCGGATGAAGAAACTGAACGCGTTCAAGAGGGGTTTGAACAAGTAGTTTCTAACAGTGCTCCGATTTGTTAACATTCTGTATCCTATAAATGAATTTGTCCTCCACAAGGTCACGCGAATCCTCATTTTTCCTTACAGAAAACTGTCCGTGATAAAGAGTACAAGGCCTTTCAGGTAAAACTGGACCGGTTAGAGAAGCTGTGCAGGGCTCTGCAGACGGAACGGAACGAGCTCAACGAGAAGGTGGAAGTCTTGAAGGAGCAGGGCTCGGGGAGGGCGGCGGGTGCGGATGTAGTGCCGCCCGGGACCCAGCCCTGCGCTGCCCCGGTGACCCCCAAGGAGCCGGACACTGCTTCCAAGGGCGCCCCGGGCGCCCCCCAGGAGGCTGCGCCCAAGGCAGTGAAGGAGAAGACGGCCGTGTCCGCGGGCGCCGGGCCAGGCATCGAGTCCGTCGACTGAAACGAAGTATGATCACTGTATCGAGAGCTATATTTTGTGTATAACTTTCTGTTAGTAGTAACTATTTGGTTTTGTGGTGAAAATTTTCTTACTTTTTCTACCATATCCGTATTTTCTTAGAACTACTGGACTTACGTGGTACAGGAGGCTGCTTAGCAGTTTTGAATAGTTTTCCTTCTATACGTTTTCCTCAGCCGTGTTGCACATCTGCCTCATTTCCCTTCATTGGACTGCATGTGACCATTGCCTTGTCCTATCTTCCCTGTTCCTTGCCCAGAATTACTCTTAATTTCACTCGAGATGGGACCGATCATTACAGGGGAACTTTGTTCTGATAATGGTTCCTTGATGTGAACACAATATTCGTTTATTGAAACATCCTGCCTCCCCCTCCCCCCCATTAATATTTACTCAAAAAGAACCCAAGATGATTAGTTTTGTGTAATAGCCAAATGCCAAGTAAAAATAAAGTAGGGTCGGGTCAGAAACCAGCATGTAGCATCTTTGATTCAAATTAGCTTTTTGATAGTATTTCTATCACTTGACAACTTGATGTGGCTGCGAGCCTCAAATTATTCAGTTTCAGCAGACAGTATCTACGAGCTATTGGACAAACAGGTTTCATTTTGTGACTCAGTCCTACTGCTTCGGTTTGAGGTCAGAACTAGAACTGGTGTTTGAACTTGGACCACCTAGATGTTCACCTGGAATATGGTGGTTTGTTTGCTTTGTTTGGGATTTGGGTACGTGTCCTCCACTTCCCACAGAAAGCTGCCACTGGTAGTTGGCATTTTAAGACCGTGAGGGTTAAATTCAGGTGTAGCTTTCAGCGAGCCTTAAGTCCCTCTTCTGCTGCCTTCTGGCTCCTTGAAATTTGTTCAGCTAGTTCCGTGAATCCCAACAGTAAAGTTCTCCGGGCTTTCAAAAAGGGAATTTTAATTGTGGATCATGCTAACCGAAACCGATTTTACTTCCAAAACGGAAAAGACTAGAACTCACTTTTGTAGCTGTGGGAAGACTTGGCAGAGCGTTTTAGGTAGTCAGGATCCACTACTTGGGCTTTTGGTGTGGTTCTGCCCCCTTTTCTTAGTTGCTGTCTTTTAAGAGAAAAGCCAGTATTAAAGTCTCTGTGACGGACTTGGACTGGGGGAACTTGCCGTGTGAAGCATGGCACTTCTGAATTCATTCAACTTTCCCTTGTTCTTTTAATTAACCATGTTGAATGTGGCTGAGTTATGCAAATGAGAAGCCAGGTTGCACCGTGAAAGTTGGGACTTTGTCTGCTATGATTTGCATCGAAATACTTTATGAAATAAAAAGGCTCTACTAGAATTGATGTTCTAGCACATTCCACTGAGCACAACTATCAAACTGACACCGAAACTGCTCACTGGACTGAATTCTGCTCTGTCCAGTTAAAAATGTTTTCACTTTAAAATTATGAGATCCTATCCTAGTCCTAGTCTGAACTGGGTTAAAAGAATCGAAAGTTGTCTAAAGGAAGCTTCCAGCATCGGTCATATGAAATCAAGGGGTCAGACAGTGGAGGAAAAGAAAACCACAGAGCACATGCTCTCACTACTCTGTCAAAATGAGTAGGAAGCGAAAATACCCCCTCCTCCAATGGCCTTTTATACTCCTTTCTGCTACTAGATGAAATGATGGACTCATTTCCCCCAGGGGAAGTGAAGGTATATATGAAATGTAATCTACTTTAAAATTAGTACTAATGACACTTCACAAGAACTCTGCTGGATGTACAGCTCTTAGTGTCGAAGCCATTCGTGTAGCCCACCGCGTTTCTTTGGGGTGCTTGTCCCGTGTGGAAGATGTAAATCGTGGACCTGTTGCATATTTTCAAGGGCTTTATAAAGCAACGTGATTAACAGCACTTGGCCTGCTGCTCTGGGCTTACTGTCTATGTGTAGCTAGATGTGATCATGGTATCGCAAGGAGGTAGATTCTGCTTGGGACGCGCTGTGTGTCCGTTCAGAATCTTGCCTCCCATTACCCTGTGAATCAAAACAAATGGGACCCTCTGAGGACATCTTCCCCCGCCCCCTGCCCCTCCACCAATCACCTCACCAGCCCAGTGTTGTGGCTTTGTAGCACGCCCTGTGTCCACCAAATTCTAGAACACTGTAATGCTTAGGCTGGTCCAGAAAAGGCTTAACTGTCGAATTCACTTCAGTTGCATTTGCTGCACCATCCTGGGATCTTGCTGTGTATTATTTCTAGTGGCGGTAGAGTCCAAGTAGAGAATTACTTGGATCATGGACCATTTCACCCTCAGACTTGTTAGGAGTACATTTCTTGGTCTTGAGACCAGTGTTTTTTAGTTCTGTATGCAACTGCCTTTATTACACCTGGTTATCACAATTCAATTCTCAGGTGTTGCAGAAAAATCTACCTCTTTCAGACTGTAGATGGAAATAACTGTGAAAAAAAAATGATGCAGAGATCTTCTAGTTTGTGCTAAACACACTGCTTTATTTTTACAGCCCACGTCTTTCATGAGGATACGAATTGTTCAGAGGCAGTCTTGTTTTGCTTTTCAAAGACATTTTGTAGAGATTTTTCACTAATGTGAATCTGATTTTATCTACTCGATTCTGTATAGATGAAGTAAATATGTATGATAAATTTAACAGCTTCTCTGTATTCTTTTATTCCCCCTGTGACGTTAACAGAGTCTAACGATTCCGAAGACAGCTGCAGGACGGTTGGCTTCTCAGGCCTGAGGAGGGATGGAGACTGCGTGGAAGACTCTCCTTTCACAGGGCAAGCCTCCATGCCTCCCTTTTTCACCTTTAAAGTCCTACAGTTTAGCTGCTGTTGAGCCCTAAAAAAAAAAAAGCGCACACGCACAAAACCGCAGGTCTCCAAAAGCTTGGCTGCTCCTAGCACATTCCAGGGTGTACCTATTTGAGCAGCAAGAGAATTAGGTGTAATAGGCCGAAAAGGAACTATCTAATTTGAAGGTGAGCAAAAAGTACTGAAGTGCATAAGAAGGTAACCAGCAGAGCAGTCTGGTGTGATTTAGACTTAATGGGCCCAGTCTTGGTAGTCCGTTTTCGTTCTCCTAAAAAGCCTTTTAAAATTAAGTGTAGGGCACCTGGGGGGCTCAGTTGGTTACAGCGTCCAAGTTGGGCTCAAGCCCCACACGGGGCTCTGTGCGGACAGCTCAGAGCCTGGAGCCTGCTTCGATTCGCTGTCTCCCTCTCTACTCAACAAGCATTTAAAAAGCGTCAGAACCATTCCTAGCTGGCAGGTCCTACCCCCACAACGGGCTGAGCGGCAAACCAGAGTCTGTCCCCTTTGCTGACCCCTTTTCACAGGCGGGGACGCGGGAGATCGGACAGTCCTGGGTTGATGACTCTCTTGACCACAGACACACCTACCTTCTCCCTACCTTTGCGGCAGGGCCCTCTCACCGTACCCTGGAAAGCAAGTCCGGTCAAGGCACATACGTACCAGCTTTCTCACAAGACCAGACACATACAGACACTCCGACCCAGGTTCTAAAATAATAAAACAGACTTTATTTTAAAACTTTATTTCTGCAAAGCCAATCAACAAGTGTTGGAGGGAAAAAGTGTAAAAGTTATTCTTGCATATTTGGGAACAGCAAGCACTTAGTTTGAGAAAACAAGGACTTAAAATAGTTGAATCAAAGGCAGTACCCTACTACTTGTATTTTAAAACAAGGTAATGTTCTTTCTTAAACATAACTTTCTTCCCTAAAAGCTACAATATGATACAGTACGCAATAGCTCACTTGAAAGTGCTAGAATCAGAAGGTAAAGAACGCCATATGCCAACCACTTACATGTCCTACTATACAATGCCTTTTTGGCGCTTGATAAACCAAGCGTTCGTGTAGCATTACATTCAAAAGAAACGTTTCTTGTACTTTGGGTTTTACGATCCTTGCCCCTCCAGTTCCGATGTTGTGACATCTGACTCTTCATCATTGTAAATATTTTCAGCCTGGAGAGGACAACCAAAGGGACAGGTAAAATCGCCCTAGAGTTTCTACAAAATGGTCTAACAGCAGCATTAAATAACTCTTGTCTACACTTGAGGGTTCACAGGTCAATGTGTTCCAGTGTTGGAAACTTTTAGATTTACGTAGCGCCTCCCCCTCCCTCCCATAGTAGAGGACACACTGGGGCAACGTTCTTACGTGCCAGTGTACAACCCCGCCGCCCTAGCGAGCTGTCCACGTACTGCTTAGTTCTACTGTAACCAGCGTTTCCCAAAAGTATTTCAAGCAGCCTGTGGACGAAGCAATAGCCCTGAAGTTAATGAGAGGCTTGGCTGGTTAACAGGCCCTTAGAAAGGTCAGGTGCGTAGTCGTCCTCACCAGAGAGCTCGCTCTGTCCTACAAATGCCTGTGACACACCAGACGCTGGACACCCAGCAGTGATGCCAAGAGCCCAGGTGACATGTACAACAGTCATGCAGGAGGGAACCAGAGGCCACGTCCACACCTGTGTGTGCGCGCATATGTGTGTAGACACAGATTTCTTCTGATCTGACAGGTGCATAACGGAACTAAAGACTTGTTAAAATGGAGAAAGATCTTTTAAGATGGTTTCCTTTCTATATTTGGTGTAATATGCACAACTCATAAAAGAAATACTTCTGAGTAAAGAATTTCTCCTTTTCATTTAGGAAAAATATTTTAGCTCACCATTTGCCATATCTGCATGATGTTATCCTCAGACACCGAGCAAATGACCCAAGGTTCATTGGGGTTCCAACTAAAATCTGAGATCTTGGCGGTGTGTCCCCCATGAATAAACTGTTAACAAGAATGGAAAAACACAGCCTTTGTTTCACATCTTAAGTTTTCAAAGCCACAGTCTTGCAACTGAGGTATAGAGGGACGGGTTTACAGGCTTAGTAATCACCCTCCACTTACTTTGCAAATTTCCAAACCCTCAGGAAACGTGACAGAACAGTACAGTGAATGTCTAGACACCCTCCACCTACATTTTCCAAATACTAATGTTAACAGGTGTTTTCTTAACACAGATACACCTGAGCCACCCCTAAATAATTCACACGTCCCCCAAAAGTAAGGACATTTTCCTATACAACTACAATGCCATTTCCATACCTAAGAGATTTACCAGTAGTCCAGCCTCATTATCAAATATATGTAGTTAGGTACATTTAAGGCAATAAATTTCCATAATGTTGTTACATTTTTTTTTTAATTTTTTTTTTTTTTTAATGTTTTATTTATTTCTAGGAGAGAGAGAGACAGCGCGAGCAGGGGAGGGTCAGAGAGAGAGGGAGTCACAGACTGAAACAGGCTCCAGGCTCTGAGCTGGCCGTCAGCACAGAGCCCGATGCGGGGCTCAAACCCATGAACCGCGAGATCATGACCTAAGCGAAAGTCAGACGCTTAACCGACTAAGCCACCCAGGCGCCCCGTTACAGATATTCTTAAAAGGAAGTCTCCTGGTTCTTCTCTGTAGGG